TATTGGTAAAAAAGAATATGTAATATGTACAATCGGTAATACAATTCCTGAAAATTGTTTTATTATAACCACAAATTTTTTTAAATTATTTTACCTGAAAGGAAGCCCATTATTAGAAAATATTTTTCTTCATTTAAATTCTTATAAAGCATGAGATATATATTGAAATAGGTCTTTACCCAAATTTTAAACTCTTATACCGATTTTATAGATAATTTCTCTCATAGACCCCTGCTAAAAGGATTTACTACGACAAATAAAGTAGGTAGATAAAAACACTGTTTATTTTACTTTCTAAAATTACATTGAACTTATTATTTTATTTAAATTTATAGTTTATTTCGATGATACTTCTGAATTCTAACATGATGTAGGTAAAAATGTTCAATTCTATGTTTAATTTTGATCATGTTGTAAACTTTTACACATTCCGGTTAGATAAACGCACACTTTAATTTTATATAAAATATTAAAACTCCTTACTTCATTTAATTCATACGAATAAATAACTAACATTCATAGCATCATTACATTCAACGCTAAATTTTATAAATAGTATACTAATCTTCGATCCGTTTAACGTTAATGCACTTGTTACGTTTGGCGTAACCATCAACGTTATTTTCAGTCAACCATCGCTATTTGGAAGACTAACTAACGAAAACCTTACACCAAACTCAGACCCACAGTGAAAGTTAGCAAAAACCATGGCAAAACCACGCTCAAATTATTGTAAGGACATGCACTCCATACATGTGCATTTTAAGCATTCATCATTAACAACATGATTTAGGTACCTATGTGTGCGTCGAGCAGTTTCGAGCAGCTTTTACGGGTTGATAAATGAAGAAAGATAAAAGATGTGCACTTGTGTGTGATCAAGAAATTGAGCATGGTTTCGGAGATACATGAATTGGACGCGGCGCCGCGCGGCGTTCCGTCTATCGTTCTTTGTTGGTCTGAGACACCAAGTTACTCACACACACACACGCACACACATATACTTGTATATTACCTAGTACTAAATTTCTCAAACGACGATTTGTGTACACATATTGTTTGCCCATTCAATCATGTGTTTACTCATATAAAATGTCAATACCCATAGAGCAAGCGGATCAGGTACTATATTATGTGTGAGTCATAATAAAATCTTTATGTAGTTAATACATAAAGCAATGTTGTTGTTGTAATACATACAATAATTGTTGGTAAAATTAAGTCTTAAATAATTTTCTGGTGACGGTATTCTTGTTTTGTATTTTCCTTTTTGTTTTCGCTAGATTTTAGTAGACATACCATAATTATTATATAAACTAATTTTGTGTTAACAAATAAATGATATCCTTCTCTTGAATTTTTTATATTAATTTTACCATTATACTGTCCCTATCACAGAATAAATAATAGCCTTTAATATTGGGCAAAAATAACCATTGTATGTACATGCAATAAACCTACCATGTACCTATCATTAAATCACGTGCCTGCATATTTTGACCATAAAAAATCTATAGAGAAGGATATTCTTCGGTGTCACCATTTTTTGTTTAACTGTGGTTTTTATTCCTCTGAATTAGAACAGATTAACTAAATAAAAAAATTTCGAATAATACTCGAGTCCAGCCGTTCGCAAATAAAATAGAAATACTAATAATAAAAATGGATATATCACCTGTTTATAAATTTTCCTGCCTATTTGTTACTCTAATAATATAAACTTTTTCATGATTTGAATTTTTTCTCTTTTTCGAATCTATTATCAACAGCTAGCCCATGCGGTACCTTGAGGATCAACAGTTGATTAGTGACCGCCAGTACGGTTTCCGTCGCGGTCGCTCGGCTGGTGATCCTCTGGATTACCTGACTTATAAATCGGCGGAGGCGTTGGCCGTTAGTTTGGACATAGCGAAGGCCTTCGATCGGGCTTGGAACAAAGCGCTTCTTACGAAGATTCCTTCCGATGGGCTCTCCGAGAAATTGTGTAATTGGATCACCAGTTTTCTTGCAGATCGTAGCATCAAGGTCGTAGTAGATGTGCATGCTCCGATTACAAGCCTATTAACGCTGGTGTTCCACAAGGCTGCGTGCTATCACCAACGCTGTTTCTCCTGCATATCAATGACATGTTGCGAACCGGTAATATTCATTGCTATGCAGACGAAAGCACTGGTGATGCTTTATACACCGACCGTGACATTATTTCTCGGGAAAACGTCGCTGATTACCTGGACAAACTTGTGTCTGAAGTTGAGACTTTGTTATAATACAGTCTCGAAATGGGGGCGATTAAATCTAGTCCAGTTTAATCTCCAGAAGAAACAAGTTTGCGCTTTTACCGCTGAAAGAACCCTTTCGTCGTATCTCCTCAGTTTCAAAACACTCCCCTTGTTGCCTCAGCCATTATCAGAATCCTTGGCGTCGATATCGAGTGACGTGCAGTTTCGTGGTCACTTAGAAGATAAGGCAGGCTCCCCAGTGCCAGCTCCTTCCATTTGATCACATCCAGCGCCGAGCAGTTCGAATCGTCGGCAACCGAGCTCTTTCCGATCGGCTTGACTCACTGGCACTGCGAAGAGATGTTGCATCTCTTTGCGTATTTTATCGCATCTACCACGGGGAGTGCTCAGAAAAATTGTCCGGACTGATTCCAGCCGCACAATTTCACCATCGCGCATCGCGACTTTTTAACCAGAGATTTTCCGGATCGATACGACCAAGGACTTAGGGAAGAAAAGAGCCTACTTCTTTTTAACAGGCCGGCAACGCACCTGCAATTCCCCTGGTGTTGCAGTTGTTATGGGCGGCGGTATTCACTTACAATCAGGTTAGCCGTATGTTCGTTTGCCCCCTCTCCTATAAAAAATCTTCTGATTACAAATTTTGTTATTTTTGGCTTTATATGTTTAATTTTTATGTATTTACATCTGAAAATTATTTATTTTTAGTAGGTTCCGATTTCATCATGTTAAACAGTATTTACACTATAATGGCTTCCTTACTTAGAACATTACATAGCAAAAGGAACCGTTGTAAATAAACGAATAATATTGAAATAATATTTTTTTAGGCACATCGTGATACTCGATAATCAGTATTTAAGGCCCTACATCAAGAATTTTGAAGTGATAAATAAAAAGAAACAATATGACAAAACAGTAAACTTTAACTTTCAACGACACTGATCGTAACGACCGATTAATGAATATTAATCGGGACGAAATGCTTCATCAGTACCTACATTGCACAGCCAAATGAGTAGATACAGGCGCAGCGTCACAAGAATGATAGAAGACAGTTGCAATCGTAGGTACTAAACGTAATGATTACACACTCTTTGATAAGTCCTTACGTCTAGTTTTCATCAGTGTATAAACAGATTATTGTTTTTATTACTTGGCATTATTAATCGAGTACTGCGAACTCATTTCATGTGGTCGACGTTTAGTCCCAGTGCTTCGAGGTAAAACGTCCGTTCTGGAAATTCGGCTCACGGTGTGCGATGCGGTTTTTTTTTCAATAATATTACTGACTCAATTAAAAAGACAAGAGACTATAGATAAATGGATAGATTGAACATCATTGTCCACCAAAGTCATAAATATAAACACGAGAAAACATCAAATAAATCATATATTTAAACTGTCTCTGTGTAATTATTTATTAAAATCAATTGAGCGTTTATCATTGAAATGGTTCCTTAAGACCTGTTTCAAATACTCACATTGTATTTTCTTATCATATTGCCTAAAAGCTTCAAATTGGAAAAAGCTATGTATTATGTTAAATTAGATTTTTTTGTTACCAGTCATTTTGTTACGATATACTAAGAATATTTAATCTGTAATGATTGACACGTAAAATAAAGAAAGACATAAATTTAGGAAAAACTGTCACTTGTAATAAGGTAAAGAATAAATTTTATACGGTAAAACATTGCGAAGCAATGCGCAGCTGTACAAACCCTGCTGTCCTTGAATTTGATAATATTGATTTTAATGAATACTTGAATAAAATAAAAAATAAAAAATAAATGATGTTATACTTTCATAGTATAAAATTTAATAATAAAAATGATAACGATTTCTTATAATTACGCGAACACTACACATTTAAATAAAACCAGTTTTACGGATTTTATCGCTATTATAATATATATTAACTTATTGTATATTCCGGACTTTTCGAGCAATTTACAGCACCCATAGTCACAGCCACCTCCAGATTATAATTATTAATTTTGTTTCGATTTACGCAGTATGAAAAAAGTATATCTTGAAGTCTTGCTTGGAATCTTATAAGTGGTGTTACCATCTGCTTGTGATCCTATAATTAATAAAATTAAATCTCAACCCAAGCATACAACTGCAATATTTCAAGATACTATAAGTTCATGCGGCGTAGATCGGAACAAAAATTAATAATTTCAATGTGGAAGTAGCCGTAGTCAACTATGACATTGGGAAGTTGAACACCACAGTTTCCCCCTCCTGCCCCTCCCCCGTGACCATGGGTGCTGTAAAGTGCTCGAAACGTTTGGAATATGTAATAAGTTAAAATACGCGAATAAAATCCGTAAAAACTAGTTTTATTTAATAAAAAAATATTGTTTTTAGATTAAAAACATGAAAAATTTAAAGAAAAACAACATGCCACCAAGATAATTTATAGTGATACTAATTTTAACTTTCTAGTTCCAGTAATGGAATATTATACAACATTATTTCACGTTACGTTCCTCACACATCTAAGTATATATTACGAGAACATACACAACAAGCGCATCTTATATAACGGTTTTGTAAACAGTTTTTTTAATGTTTATCCATTGTTTGCGGGTACACTGCGGTTCTGTATTAAATAGTTACACTTTGGTTTTATAACAGTTTTGGTGCCGGTATCAACTATATAAGAGTTTCTTTCCCTCCGAACTTGAACAGGTCCTCGTGAGGACACTGACCTGGTGGGGGACGATCTCTCCTCGGCTTTTGCTCTGCATACTAGTTTTTCGACGTCAATATTGTCACAAATTCTGGAATCAGTTTTTCGTTATTTATTATCTATGTTTTATTCTAGCATTTCAAACTATTCTATTTACCACAAAAATTACGAATTTCAAATAAATATGGATACTTTTTGTAAGTAAGTATATATTATATTAAATATTATTATTATTATTATTATCTGTTATATTACATTTCATACGACACGATATCAATTTTAAGTATTAAAATATTTAATTATTCTGATATGCAAACCATATAAATCGACGTAAGTATGTGTATATGGAGAGGATATTAATAAAAAGGCCCATTTCATTTCATTTCTCATACATTAAGAAAATAATAAATAACAGTTTGAAAACATCACAAATTTCCAAAATCACAAGGATTTAGAACTCGAGTATTTTCATCTTAATACTATAGTGTACTCATCGCTGCTTGCTACGGAGGCGATGACATAATAAGAATCACTCTTGATTAATACCTACCATAATAAAGCATTACCCTATTTTTATTTTTTATTTTATTGAATAAGGTACACAAACAGACAGTAGTTATATAAAGGTCTAAAATTGAAGTATATTTGTGTTGATCTAAACTACAATCCAAAAAAGTGTACACGGCATAATAATATAACAGCAGTAGAATCTTAGTCGTAGCAGAGATAAACTAGATAACAAATACATTAAATGTTAAGAGAAACACGTACTAACCAAGCTACTATCGAATATATCTAGAGATACGTTATTACGCTGAATCTCGTCGTAATCACAGCACATTTTGACGACAGGGTTGAAAAAGGAAGTGTTATTCTTGTGTACGTCTAACCTGAAAATTCTTTGAACACGTTCTCGTATACCGGAATTGAAGTTAATTAGCCTTAGTAAATCTGGGCAATCTATACGAGAAAGCATAATCAGTTGCAAAAAAACTTGGTCGGCTAATTGTCTCCTCAAAATAAATCGATCTATGTGATACATAAGATAACTTTTCCTCCTTTTTAGTCCTTTTCCAGAATTCATCCGCGTATTCCTCGTTAAAGCCTATTGCTGTGGATTGGTGAATTTACAGTCTATTAAATCCTGTTGGAACGAATTCATTGCAAGCATGAAAAGGCTTTGGAAATTTGGGTGGTGAAATTCCAGCAAAAAATCTTACCATCGTAGTTGACCATGCCATCTCCGTCCAAATCGGCTTCGCGGATCATATCATCCACTTCCTCCTCGCTGAGTCGCTCGCCTAGGTTTGTCATCACGTGGCGCAGTTCCACGGACGAGATCAAACCGTCGTTGTTCTTATCAAATACCCTGGAATTGTTACGTAACATTTCTTTATGCGTGGTTTTAAATAATTATGTATTAAAGTATTTGGTACCCTGAATGCATTAGTCAAAAGGCAAGGCGTGGTAAAGAGTACACGCCTTGCACTACATAACGCAGTGTTGGTACCGACTTTGTTATATGGCAGCGAAACTTGGGTATGCCAGAAGAAGCATAAAAGCAAGTTGAATGCAGTGGAGATGCTATCTCTTCGTAAAATGTATGGCGTTACCATAGCCGAGCGAAAGCGAAACGAAGAGATTCGCAATATGGCAGGATGGAAAGATGACCTTATCACAAAAATTGATAGGGGCGTACTCCAATGGTTTGGGCACGTTGAGCGAATGCGTGAAGACCGAATGGTGAAGAAAATATATAGAGCGAAAGTAAATATTAAAAGGTGTCGAGGTAGACCGAGACTAACTTTCGAAGACCATGTGAGCAAATTGCTCGAAGAGGGGAAGGTCAAGAGTACTCAGATACCTAGACGTGCATGTATGAAGAAGTTAATGAACCTGAAAGAAGCGAAAGAGGTATGTAAGGATCGTGACACTTGGCGATCTGTTCTCTCTGGCTACCCCGTTAGGGATTGTGCGTGAAGATAAGTAAGTAAGTAAGTAAAGTATTTGTAATTTTTGCTTTAATGTTGCGATTTCCTGCTATCATTATCAACACATACTTTGAAATGAATCATCAATTGAGAAAGCTATGTCATTATGTATATAGAATTTCTGTATGAGTATCCTTCTGACAAGTCACACAAGAAGTCAACCTTGAATTGATTTACTATTACATCATTATTCTTGTATTTATGAAATTGTTGCGAGGTAGAGCCAAGCTGCAGCTATATTAGTAGTATAGTTGTAGCACGAATGGGTCGGCTCAGCCGGGGAAGGACCACGCTCTCACAGAATCATCATCATCATTACAGCCCTTCACAAGTCCACTGCTGAACATAGGCCTCCCCCAAGTAATACCACAAAGCACGGTTCTGAGCCACCTGTATCCATCAACTTCCTGCATGTCTTACCAGGTCGTCACTCCATCTAGTGGGAGGTCGCCCTACACTACGCCTACCGGTACGAGGCTGCCACTCGAGAACCTTTCTTCCCCATCGCTTATTGGTTCTTCGAGCTATATGGCCGGCCCATTGTCACTTCAGCTTACTAATCCGTTGGGCTATGTCGGTCACTCTAGTTTTACTGCGAATATCCTCATTTCTGAGTCTATCACGCAGAGAAACTCCGAGCATATACCTCTCCATAGCTCGCCAATTAGGGTGCTTGTTACGAGTATATTTGCTCAATCTCACTATGGTATGTTGTTGTTGTGACTCGTGGTGAATTTCTATGAGCTGTTGAGCGCAGCATTGATACCCTTGTACTGGCAACTCAATAAAGAAGATTTTTGTTGCTTTTCCTTAGTATACGTTTCATCATTACCTGAATGCTTCTCTAAGCTCGTCTTCCCCATCCGACCCGCGCATTTTCTTCGACATCATCTGAAGGAACTCGTTGAATTCTATAGTACCGTTTCCATCTTGATCTACTTCTTTCACCATATCTCGAAGCTCCGTTTCTGTAATGAGAAATACAACATACTTTTATGTTTATATAGTATAGTTTTATCTATTAACAGTCCCATCAGATTAAATTTCTAAATAATATTGTCTAAGGAGTATAAATTCTAGTAATTTCGGATTTCAGGCACGATAGCCAATTTCAACGGAGGCTAGCCATCTGCCAGGACACTCTATTCCTTCACTTGTATAGTCAAACGGGTAATTTGACGCAACCGGATAGATATCAAGCGCAAGATCAGCTATTTACTTCCTCTCCGAGACACGGAGGAAATCTTGACCACAGATTAAAATTTATTGAATGATGATGAAAATAAAGGCGCTAAAGATTCACTACAAAAAAACACTTACGCTATAAAAACCTGCAAAATCCCAGACCTTAGCTGTAAGCAGAAATATATCTTCTGCACGCGTACCGGGAGTTGAGGACGCTTTGCCCACCGCGCAACCATTGTATGGCTGACAAATATGATAAAATAATAAAACACTAATAATTAGGTTATTTGCGAAATAATTAGGTATTTTATTTGTTTGATAATCAAATATGTTCGAGTTTTATAAAACAATAATCATCGAGATACAATGTACTACGAATAAATAGCTTTTCTTCCTTCTCTGAATTCTGTTATTAAACTTAAGAGGGCATATATGCGTTTCGCGTCGAAAACTACATGTTTTACGGTTTTTCCAAAGGCGATATTGTAACGACGTGAGGAGATTATTTGCTGAAAATTAGGGCTTTAGAAAGATGAAGTCTTTATTTAGTACATAGCAATGCGAAATCATAGTTTTTAATGACGGTTTTTTAAGGCGAAGACAATCCCTTCACAGCGTTTTACGAAAATATGCATCAGAGTTATCTTTCAGGTTGAATAAAACCATTATTATACGCTAAAATACTTTATTTTAAGCGTTATTATAATGGAATATATAGTCTTTTAGTGTATAGCAAAACCTAAATTACGAAAATATTTCGATTTAATAATAATACATACATATACATAAACACTCACGCCTGTCACCCAGAGGGGTAGGCAGAGACTACGGACTTCCATTTGGCACGATCCTGACATACCTCTTTCGCCTCCTTTACATCCATATATCTACGCATACATGCTCGTCGGTTAAGGGTACTTCTAACGTGGCCCATTTTCAAAATATCGCCAATTTGGTCGATAAACTTTTTCCTAGGGCGTCCCTTCCCGACTCGGCCATTCACATCTGCCATATAAATTTGCTTAGTCACTCTTTCCTCATTCATTCTTTCTACGTGACCAAACCACCGAAGCATTCCTTTCTTAATCCTGGTCACAACATCATCTTGCATACCACATTTATCTCTTATCACGCAATTTCTCACCCTGTCATTCAGATTACACCCTAGCATATTCCTTAAAGACCGCATTTCTACAGCATTTATTCTACTTTCGTGCTTCTTCTGCCACACCCAGCTTTCACTACCATACATTAAAGTAGGGACTAACACAGCATTATGAATTACCATACGTGCCTGTTTTGACAAATTCTGGTTCTTCATAATAGAGTGTAGTGCCCCATTCACTCTATTCCCTGCATTTACTCGTCGTTCTATATCCCTATCATATCTACCATCCCTGCTAAATACACATCCCAAATACACAAACTCATCCACTTGCTCAATCAACTCTCCTTCTATTCTTATTTCACATACCGTTTTGCTTTCTTCTCTTTCAAAAACCATCACTTTCGTCTTACTTGCGTTCACTTTCATTCCCCTTTCTTTTAATTCCCAGTTCATTAATGTAACCATCATTTGCAACTCTGCCGCCGATGACGCAAGTATGACTTGATCATCGGCATACAAAAGGCATTTGACGGTTAACTCGCCCATTCTTAACCCACATTCTTCATCTTTCAAAGTTTGCAAACACCGGTCCATAAATAGGTTGAACAGCCAAGGGGAAGCCACACAGCCCTGTCTGACACCTTTTTGGATGCCAAACCAGTCCGAGTAGACCCCATTGATCCTGACACAAGCACTAGAGTCCCTATAAAGAGACCTTAATGCCTGTATCAAACCAGCGCTCAACCCATATGAGTTCAGTGTTTGCCATAACACATTCCTGTCCACTCTGCCATAAGCCTTTTCCAAGTCCATGAACGCACAAAAAACTTTCTGGTTTTTGGCCAAAAACTTCTCCGCAATCATGCGCATGGAAAAGACTTGATCTGTACACCCCATTCCCTTTCTAAAACCCGCTTGCACATCCCAAATTTTTCCATCAGTTTCTTTCATAACTCTTTCAATTAACACCTTAGCATACAGTTTACCCACAATACTAAGCAAGCTGATACGGCGGTAGTTTTTGCAGTCCAGCTGTGACCCTTTTCCTTTATATATTGGTACTATAACTGCTTTACACCAGTCATCCGGTACCCGTTTTAATTCCCAACATAAATTAAACAAGGTGTACAGCAGGCCTGCCACCACTCCATCTCCAGCCCTTAGCATTTCGAGTGATACTCTATCATATCCAGCTGCCTTACCTGCTTTCATGCTTTTCATTGCTTTCATTATTTCATCTACATTTATCTCCATACCCCTTTCCACTTCTTTCGGAATTTCTAGTTCATTTAATTCATACGACTCTTCACTCATAAACACGCCTACTTCAATGTAATTTTTTCCATGTATTTGCTTATAAACATATCAATTTTAATTATTTTATCAAAATACATGTAATGTTAAATACCCAAAAAAAAATTTAGCTCGTTTTATTTTGCCAATTATTTTATATAATTATTATAAAAATACCATAAAACATCATGCGCAGGCACCGTTCGATGCTCCTACGCGGGCCCCGTCTTTGCCCACGCAAACCCTAACATTTTAAATGAACTCCAAATAGTTCAGAACCTCTTCTGTCGTCGAGCTGCGAACGCACCGTGGTACGTCCGCAATGCCGACCTTCATCGGGACTTAGAGCTCCCAACAATTCAACAATTTTTTAAAAAACTCTCTGAGAACTTCTTCAAAGCCTCAGAGTCGCACCCAAACCATTTAATTCGTGAGGCAGCTTCTTATGCAGCCCCACCCCCCCTCTCGCTATCGTGTCCGCAGGCCGAAAAACTCTCTCTCGGACCCGCCTAATAAACTTTCAAACGACCTGAACTGTCTCCTGGCGGCTCAGGCCAACTCTAATTAAATATAATTATTGTAATATCTAACATTAATTTGCCTTCGTAGGCACTCCCTCAGCGGCACTTAGCCGCCTGCGCCCTCTTTTCCCAAAAGAGGGTCGCTCATGATAAGCCACAATAGAGCTTAATCAGCCGGTTGCCTGTCCCCAAAGGCGGTTTTTAGAGGGTATCACTTAGGGTCCCCGGTAGGACAGTGAGCCCCTCATAACCACGATAGACCGGCTATCGTGGTATGCGTAATGCATTTTCCGCCTCCCTACGTATAGGGTAGCCCTTTAATTGCTTCGGGCGCAAAAAAAAAACCGTTCGATTCAGTACGCTCCGGGTAATCCCAACGACGTATCACTTTTCTCACCGACACCGCGCGATCGCGTAGATACACCGATAGGGATATACTACACTATACTATAACTAGCTACCTATAGACGATTGAGACTTTTATAAGCGATATTTTTGGTAGTAAGTAATTTAAATGATGTAATGTACAAATTTTCATTTCATACATATTTTTTTAGAAATGAGTAATGAACGTAAGCAATTCGGATCGAGTAAAAATACAAAATCGTTGGCTTTCACCTTTGGCTCCGTGGCGGAGTGACTTGGTAATGAGTTGTAGCGCTGAGCGCCGCAGGTTCGAATCCCACATTGAGCAAAAATTTGTATTACCTACAAATAATTGTTCCAGGTCTGGATGTTTGTCCTTGTGAAATTAATGTATTTAAACTGCCCCAACGATGTACTTAGGAAAAATTCCTAGTGCGGAGATAACGTTATGATTAAACAAAGACAAAATTGTAAAATAACCAAGTCTCGTAATGATGATACGGCCGTGCCGCTGTTTTGCTCGACTTGGCGGGGGCACTGCCGTGCCCCCAGACATAAAACATATGAGCCGTGCTTGAGTTGAGTAGCTCAAGGGCGTAGTGCTCGCCGTAAACGCGAACAATACGGGTTCGATCGCCGCTAGTGTTGCCAGGTGTCCCAATTTGCGCGGGACGTCCCGATTTTTAAGGGTCTTGTGACACGTCCCGATTCACCCTTGGTCGGGACGCCAAATGTCCCCATTTTCACTAACATTCTTATTCTATACTTTAATCCATAATTTAGACAGCAAAAATGATTATATATGTTAGCTACTACCACATTAAAATATTTTTACTACGACATTGTCTCACTAGTCGAAAAAAACCACAAAAGTTTTAAACAGAATTATATTAAAATGAGTGATTTGAAAAATTCAAGGACTGCAAAAAAAAAAACAAATTGTACAAAAATGTTTTAATTTGCTTAAAATGAAAAACAAAATCAGTTTTTACGATGTTTGGATGAATAATAATTATAAAGCACAAAAATAGAGTAAAGTTACAGTCACAATTTCTCGCATTACTCGCACGTGATATTTACACTTTACAGTTAGCGTTGACCATCTGAGCTACCACGGCTCTCAATAAACCACAAAAAGGCTACCAAGAAACCTATATTTTGTAGTCATTGTAGTTGTCCGGATATGAAAACCAAATCCCCGATTATTTTTACCTTCCGTCCCGAAATTTTACTTGCTAGACCTGGCAACACTACTCCCCGCCGACACTAATGAAATTGTTAGTTTGTGATGAATTATGTTTACATTAAAAGTAATAAAAACAGAATAAAAGTTTATCAAATGATATATATTTTATACAATACATATTTTTCAATTAGAACATATACATATTATAATATACCTACTCAATAGGATGAAAATGTAAAGCCGACTTCAATTTACTAAAAGAACAATTTCCACATATTAGCCTCCGATTTCTATACACTATATAAGCCA